AGATGCGCCTTTCTCTGCGAGGGCAAAGTGTCTTGAGCCACCAAAGTGGCAGAGTCGAGGGGAAGGATAAGACGTGTTATTTTCACACATTCAAAAAAAGCACATACATACGTACATACATACATACATACATACATACATGGACCATGACACGCACACACACTTTTACTTATGGACCATTTACACTCCGCCTTGCTTGTGTGCCGCTCCCCCCCTGTGGAACAGGACTGGGTCTATATATATATATATATTATATATATATATATTATATATATAATTAATAATAATATATATATATATATATTTGTCTATCACACACCGGTGTAGACATGCACACAAAAAATATGAACCATATAAAGACAAGCATGTTATCCTTTCATAGGTCCCTCCCCTCCCAACGAGGGTCGCAACCATGTTGACGCGAAAACTCGTATGATGCATCGTCCTCTAGTCCTTGGTGTACGACAGTATTGTAGCTGACTTGAGCCAGGTGTCGTTCTTCAGTCCTTTTCAGCAGCACTACGAGGAAGTGGTATTGGTGATGATTGCGATGACAATGATTACGATGATGATTTTCACGATGATCCTGATACTGAATAAACCTTGGCAGGTCTTGCTGCTGAAAAATCTGCCTCTGGGGCACCGCATGGCTCCACAGGTTTCCCCAAAATAGCAAAGAATGTAATACATAGCACGCTAAAATCTTTTAGCAGATTTCCATGTCTACTAGTTCCTTGCTGCCCCCAGCGCGCGTGCTAGCAGCATTCTGCATTCTTGAATGTGCTATGGTCTGACAGCATTATGTAGGATACGAGACACCATGTTTTTCAAGTCATGGTGATCAGAGGTCTCTAGGGCTACGCGTGGAGCCGCTTAATTAAGTAGATTTTTACTTGCATGCATGGCTTTGCGCGCCGCTTTGCGAATCGTCAATGCTTTCCCCGATGCATCCAGCCGGTCTGTGACAAGACTGAACGAGGACTCTTTCCTCTGTCATCCGATGTTTTCGTTTTAGGCTTCTGGGTTATTTGGGGCGATAGTATTGAATGAGGACTTCCTGTGTCATCCGATGTTTTGCGTTGCTTGGGTGAAGGGCTTTTATTTGGGGTCTTCTGCTTCAAAAGTCCACCCGACCAGGACAAGAGCAGAGCCTTAGTTCAGCGACCCAGTCTGCCAAGTAAGACGCTCCGCGACAACTTGGCGGAATGGTTGTGCCTCCCATAGAGTCACTTCTTTCTCGGGTCGCTCCTCAGTTCTTTGGTGTTCGTCGACTTGGACCAGCATAAAGTGCCACTCGATCGTATGATGGCGCTCAAGCCGCGGGCCTTGACAAAGACCAGCGCACCGAACAATTATCAGCTTTGGCTAACATTGTCTCAATCCATGCGCGCCAAGCTTAGTGGTTGAACTTGCTAGCGATTAGGACACTCCCAAATCGCTAGCATTTGGAATGAGGCACCCGAAAAGCCTCGGATTCGCAGCTTTGCACATCCAAGCCGTTGGTCCGTACATCATTTCTGCAATCGCCAATGAATATTGCTTGTGCAAGAATCGTCAAGTCGCTGATTGGCTCTTCTTCGGTAAGCTACCCGGCATTTCGTGACTGTGTACAACAGGATGTCCTTGCACGCGCGGCCTTGAATCAAACCCACGGAGCACCGCAATTGATTCATGTTGAAGCCTCGCTGGATGTAGCCTGGGCTTTCCGAGAGTACCGCAAAAGTCGGGGGGTTGGGTTTTCAAAAGCCCCGCATCTGCCTTTGTGCGCTCTAAACAACTCAGGCGCCAAGTCTAATCTTGTGGTTGCACGAGAACTGACAATGAGTCTGGAGGGTGGTTTGAACTCTGTCAAAGCCAGTCAACAGGGACGAATTCCTGGATCTACCAACGTCAAAGCGCAGAAGGGGGATGCGGTTGAGCTCGTTCTGGCAGAGACGCAAGACATGGACAAGGCCCGAGGCAATTTACGTGGCTATGACCCCGAACATTCGCATTTCTCTGGATCGCTCAAGTGAGAAGCTTAGCATCGGGACGCTACCAGTCCGGGCACAGCCACGCGATGACAACTCTGCGCAAGATTGGGCTATGTGTTGTTTTTTCTTGGAAACAAGGCCGAACATCTCGCTTGAAGACGCCAAAAATCTGGTCGCTTCCTTGCCCGCCGCCAACCAGAGCTACTACGAAATCTCACACTGGAGAAGGCTTGGCGACACGTCCGCGGGGACTCTCCGGCAGTCGTGCTGACCCTCCTGCACCGCGCAGAACGCACAGCGCAAAACCCAAAATACGTACCCACAAACGTCTATATACTTTGGCTTTAACTTCTCCCTCCCTCCCTCCCTCCCTCCCTCCCTCCCTGCCTCCCTCCCGTGCAACTTTATCTCTTTCCTCTTGCTTTTTCTTTATCTCATTATTCTTCTCTCTCTGTCTCTCTCTGTCTTTATCTCTTTCTTATCTCTTCTCTCCCTGTCTTTCTGTTTCTTTCGTTCTCCCTTTCTCTCATTGTACCTTGCTCTCTGCTAGGCTTTCGAGAAATGTCTGCCCACGAAAATTGCAGATGCACAAAGAAGCAGCCTTCGTAGCCTATGGAGCCTTTCAAAGCTTTTTGGATTTTCTTCAAGCAACCAGTGCAAGCAGTTGTGAAGTTTCTGTTCGCCGGCTCACAGGTTCAAGGAAGGGCTGCGATGATGCCCCTTGAGTCATGCGTTTTCGAGAACACATCAGCAGATGAGTCAAGCCCCGTTTCGTTTACGCCGGTTTTCCAACTCATCCACGCTTGGCTTTGACAGACACCAATCTCTATTGGTAAGAAAGTACGGATCGAACTTCTCACAACGACAACTGGCAGTTACCTCTCGTATAAGGAGTATAGGTTGTAGCCCCGACGCCAACTCCCCAAGAACAGTAAATCAGGACAGTGCAGAAAGCTAGCAGAGTACACATCTCTCGCTCTCTCTCTCTCTCCGCATCCGCATCCACTCCGCTCCGCATCCGCCTCGTCTTGGACATGCTCGGCGCAGTTGAGGCAAGTGAAGTGCCCACAAACACGGAGGCCATGCCTGCCCCCCGCTTCGCCGCGCTTCCGCGGCGACGCGCGCGCGAGAGCCGCCCCAGGGCAGCCAGGGCCAGGACTCGTTGACATAGACCCTCAAAAAGAGACTCAAAGAGTCAAAGTGTGTGGAGTTCTGGTTTTAACTTGCCTTTGATTTCTGAGCCAAGAACCCTGGATTCGTGTACAGCTCCTCCTCGAAGAGGCAAAGACACAAAGTGCTCACAAGGGCAGCTGCCATCTGAGGCTGGGGCGAAGCAAATGCTGCCTTGGCCGAGGCAAAACTCTGGCAAATTCACGCAAAAACGAAGCCATGCAGACAGCAGAGCAGCAAAGGCGCATTCTGCAGGGTGGTCTGGAGTGCCCCCTTCCAGCTCCAGCAGAGGGGGTCCTGCAGTGCTGCGGTGTGCCGGAGAAAGCGAGGCGCGCTGGGCCTTCAGATTGCCCGCCGCTGCGAGCCTTCCACATCACCTGCAGTCTACACGGCCTAACTGGTCTCCATCTTCGAGTCATCTCGTTCAATTAAGGATCCAAGCGCGCCCTTTAAACAGCTTCCGATACGATGTCCCGCAGTCTTTCGGCATCTTCGCATCAAGAAGCTCGCCAGCAGTCCAATCGACGTGGACAGCCATGGTTTTTCATGCTCGCTCAAATGTATACCAAGCTTATATCAACTCAACACATCTACGTCATCTAACCACATCATCAGCATCTAAACTTCCCTTTGCTTGGCAGCTGCTCAGAAGAAGAGTCAGATCACAGAAGAAGAACAACCCCTGACTCGAGAAGCCTAGTCGCAGCTCGCCTCTTAAGGCTCGCCTCTTACCACTGAGAAGAAGCCTCTGTAGTCTGTATAGAGGGCCCTGGAGAAGAACTAACTATAGGCCCCTATAGAAGGAGCTGCTACTGTAAGTCGCAATGAAGTCGCTGTTACTTATACTTTTTGTAGGCCCTACTTCAGCTTTGCTTTTCGAGCTCTCTCGACGCCTCCAAGGCCTCGCGGACGATCTCCGTGCGGCCGTGGTCCAGGCCTGGGCCGCCGCGAAGGCGCTAAAAGAAAACAAACCACGACCCTCTCTTTCTCTTCTTTAGCTGAGCTGCAGGTGCGGAGTGCCAGGTCCATGTCCCTGGTGTCCTGACCAGAGCGATCCCTGCACGCAGCCCCCGCAGCCTCCCCGAGGCCCCGAGGCCTCGCCCAGATGCGCCAGGCAGGACCTGCGTGCACCAAGCCCGAAGGAAGAGAGGGGAGCAGCNNGAGAGAGAGAGAGAGAGAGAAGCTCTTAATAACTGGGGGCCACAGCCCGGTCCGGCCTCGCCCAAATGCGCCAAGCAGGACCTGTGCAAGGGGTGCGCAAAAAGTGCGGACTCGGAGAGCGGGCCAGCGATTTCGAAGGGCAGAGCAGCGAGAGCGCAGACGGTGAGCCAGGCGGCCTCGCGAGGCCCGCGTGGCCCGCGCGCAGCGCATAGTCCAGCAGGAGCCGGGGCTGCGCCGGCCTCGCTGCCCCCGCAAAAAAAGACAGAGCGCGCGCTTTGGTATAATATTGAGTCTAAGAGCTCTTAGTATTAGAAGTTGGGCCGGGCGCCACTTTTCAGAAGCTGCGTTGGACGCTCCACGCTCTCTTCTCTGTGCCCGCGGGTGCATGCTGTCAGGGCGTGGAGTGGCGGAACTCTCCCTCTCTCTCTCTCT